TCAACAACGGCGGCTGCGGGTCCACTACTGCAGCCACCTGCTCTGTAGCGGCTGATCGCACGGCCACCTGCACCTGCAACAGCGGCTACACCAAGAACTCAGCTGACAAATGTGTACTTGTCTGTAGCATCAATAATGGCGGCTGCGGTGCCACCTCCGCCGCCTCCTGTTTTGTTGGACTAGACGGCACAGCCATCTGCAAGTGCAACATGGCCTACACCCAAAATGCAGCCGGCTTCTGTGTTCCACTTCCAGATGTCAACCAGTGCACCTCCACAGATGCCGCCACTTGTGGCTGCTCCTGCACCTGCAACAGCGGCTATGCAAAGAACCCAGCAGGGACATGTGTGCCGCAGACATCATGCCCCAGCTTAACAAGCAATCCCGCCACCATTTTCCCACCAAACAAGAAGCTGCAAACGGTGACCCTTACCGGCAGCGCCGCTGCGATTGCAACCATCCGCATAACAAACATCACGTCTAATGAGGCAGGCTCCAACAACGGCGGAGGCTGCGTGCGCTCTGTCTTCAACACCCAGTGGCAGGTGGGCGAGCTTGCAAGAGCGACGCCAGGGTATGGGGGATCAAGCACTCATGTGTCACAGTACCACTGTGTAATTTGACCAATTTCGGTTGTGTGAATGCAGCCCTCTGCAGTAGGGGCGTAGCGCAGAAGTACGCCTTGGCCACCCGCGCGGCTGGCGTACAAATCCAAACCCTCTTCTCACCCTGCTGCTTCGTGCTTCCCCCTTACTTGTTGCTGCCCGCAGACCCTAACATCTACCGGTGTTTCCGTCCAGGTGCTGGCCGACCGCAGCGGCACCGGCACTGGCAGGGTCTACCGCATCCAGTACGAAGTGACATCACCCGTCGCTGCCGCGACGTGCTCCGGCGCAGCCACGGTGTGCGTCCCGCACGACTCCAGTGCGGCGTCCGTAGCGTCATGCAGTGCGGTCACCTCCGCCCCATATCCCACTCTCACCTGCTGAATATTAGTCAGTTTCCTGCACACACGTGCGCCTTTGATTGCATGACTGCAAAGCACAGCACGACGATGCAACCAACCAGTATTGAATCCTTACCGTGCGCTTCCGCGCCTGCGATGTGGGATCGATCTGCTGCGCGCGCCGTTAGATTTGCGTGCGGTCAACTTGCTTGACCCACCTCCCGGGCATACCGTATCATGTGCATTGACGCTTGATGATTTCTGGCTGCCTTGCCGATGCTGGACCAAAGTCTGTGTTGTGGAGCTGGCCCCAGCCCTGCCGCCAGCTGCTTCTGCACCTGCGTGCCATATGGGACGAGCTGTCGATGCATCGATAGCTCAAGGTCGAACGCAGGTGCATGCCCCTGCCTATCCAAGGCACCTGCCCTGCTGCTAGTTTCTTGTGCATCACGCCAACCTCGTTTGCGCCATTACTGTGGCGAGACGCATCGAACCTACCTGTGCCTATCGTAAGCGTGCAGTACGTGTTAAATTCTGCCCAACACCCTACCGGCGCTGCCAAGCAGCATCACATATATATGTGGTCCCCTCTCTAGAGCCACACACGTTGGGGAGTTGTGCCTGGGTCCCCTGCGCATTACCCCGCTGCTGTTTTGCGTATTGTTCGTTGCAGTAGTGCATGGCAACGCAACAGGTGCAGGCGCAACAGCCAACTGCACCCGGCATTTGGAGTTCCCTTGTAGTCCGTATTTGCGCTGTGCTCGCCTGGTGCAGGACCAGTAGCTGTGCTTCACAAACCAGCCGGGGTCGTGTGCACTAGTCGCGCCAAACCTCAACCTGCTCGTACGCGCATTCAAAGTTTGCGTGCTTGGCGGTACCACCTTAGGCTGCGGGCGGTTATTCCAGGATGATGCATGGTGATGCACAGCCTTTGCTTGGAGACTCGTGGCCATTTGCAGCTTTGAAAGCTAGCCCTTTGCACGACTGCAATCATCATCACAACTCTGGTGACAAGGGATGCGCCGCTGCACCCGCTGAACTTCGCTCACTCTTTCATCCGGCGGACCACTCGCCTGCCTGGTACATTTTGGATAGCCAAACTGCTCAAAATAGTCTGCTCGTGAGGATTACGATACCCTGCATGTGACCACTGCCAGCGTCGTGACGCACTGGCGTTTGGCCATTGGGAGTGTAAAGTCGATCCTGATTTGCAGTCTTCAAGCCAGCCATATGTCATTACTGCAGCAAAGGAAATACAATCCTCACAACCTGTTTCAGCTGATCGCAAAGATGATGCGAATGGTTGCCAGGCCTTGGCAGCCTGAGACTCCAGCAGCGCAGTGTGACACAAAGGTCGTGCAGAGATGCGAGGATAATGACGAGGTGTTCTTGCCGCGGCACCCCCAGCTCGCGGCGGCGGCCCCATCGTGGGCGGCACTTGCGGCCGCCGGGCCTGTCATACATAGGGAGGTGATTACGCACATCAATTCTCTGCTCGTTTTCACCGGCCTGTCTCCGGCACTGTCGTCACAAGAGCGGGTTTGCAAGCAAAACGCATGCAGGATGCAGAATGAGAGAGGGCAGCAACCATGCTGCCGCCATACATCGTGCGGTCTTGTGGTCCATCAGAGAACAGATCAAATGCTTCAGAGCACAGGTTCAGGGGCCGATATTGCAGGTTACGGGCTCAATAGAAGCTGGCTGCACACAACAGCCGGCCACACACATGATCCATTTCTCCGTTTCCACGCACAGGAAGCTCCCTGCACGGCTTCCTGCAGACCCGCGTGTCACACCATGTAGGAGATCTTCACTGAGCTGCCGCTGCTTCGGCCGCATCCTCTACAGGCTTGGCCTCCACCGCCCAGAAGATGCTGCGTGTGGGGCGCATGGCCACCAGCTGGAAGCCAGCCGCAGACAGCAGCGCCTCCCACTGCTTCTTGGTGCGCTCCTTGCCGTGGCACCTGTGATATCAAGCAGCATGCCGATGCCTTGGTGCTTGCTGGATCAGGGGGTGGTCCGTGGCTGGCACGATGATGAGGCGACATAAGAAGGCAAGCCCTACAACAACACACGTCGCAGCCCACAACAGGTAGAAAATCCAGCTGGTCTGAGCTGCGACACGCGTTTGCGACCGACACGCGCGCTGAAGGCAGCTGGCGGCCATAAAGAAGAACCTGAATGCACTCACATTGCCATCATATGCATGTCCTGTATGAAGCGTCCATGATTTTGGTGTGGGGCGGGACATGCGTGACAAGTTGTTATGATATGGCAGCGGCTGAATGCCTCAAGTATTTGGCATACTCATTCTCGCAGGAACACTCATGGTACGCACGTGTCAGGTCCCGCTGCGGAGCTGGGTGTCCCCCTT